TAAAATATTTTAATACATTTATCAATAACTTAGTCCTAATCAAAGATAATAGCTTGCTTACTTGGATTATATCAATATGAAACTCTGTTAAGAATACCTAATTCCTTGTGATAATAACAAATATGATGATTGTATATAATCTGAACTTCTAGTTAAAATAGATAAAGAAAAATGCCCTATGACTTTGAAACTAATTCCAAAAGAAACAGTAACAAATAAATTAATTGAAGAAATTAGCTTTATTCCTATTTTAACTCAGTCTCCTTAACTTAAATTAAATGAAATACATGAAAAATTCAATATTATTTATCAAGTTCTTAATAAACTTTTACAACAATTTAATAATTATTTAAAGAATGCTCTTGTGAAATAAAATAGTAACTACTATGCAGTCAAAGTTTATAATGATCAAGATAAAGAAAAATTACTAGAAAAAGTATATCTAACTGATACTAAATATGATATTTATTATACTAGAAAAGAAACAATCAGAATTCTATCATATCAAGTTATATTAGTAGATATTTATATTATCATAAAAATTCCTATAGAAGTTATATGTCAAGTAATATCTCACTCATCTCTCGCAAAACAAGAAATCAATATTAAAAATAGAACTATTAACTTTGAATATACTAGAAATATCAGTATTATCATTCAAAATGATTCAGAAGACAATTATATTATTGAACCAAATCAGAAAATTACTCAACTCATATTTCTTCAACTTGCATCTGTTGATCAACTTAAACCAGTTTCTACTTGAGAAGAACTTGGATAATTTAGTCAAGAAATAAATAGATTTGGATCTACTAATCATCAAGAAGCTTATACTTATTTCTTGGAACAAGAACAAGAAGAAAAAGTTATTGAATAATAAAAATTAACTGCTGAACAAGAAAGACTCCTTACTCAACTATTAGAAGATAATACTGATATTCTTGTAACTGAATTACATGAACTTGACCAAAGTAATATAATTTAACATGAGATACATACTGAAAATGAATCACTAATTAAACAATAACCCTATAGAACTACCCTTCCAAATTAAACATTCATATCAGAAGAAATTCAAAGAATATTAGAAGCTAATATTATTTGACTATCAATTAGTTCTTGAACTTCACTTATTGTTGTAGTTTCCAAAAAGAATAGAAAGAAAAGCTTTTGTGTTGATTATCAAAAAATAAATACTATTATCCAAAAAGATATATATTCATTATCAAGAATTGATGAAATAATAGATTCTCTTGAAAATACTTATTGATTTTCATCTATAAACTTAACCTCTAAATACTGGCAAATCGAAATGAAAGAAGAAGATAAATTTAAAACTGCTTTCATCTTCAGAAAAGAACTTTTTGAATTCAATATCATGTCTTTTGAATTATGTAACATCTCAATAACTTTTTAACATACTATGAATACAATACTAAGAGAATATAATTAGAATTTTGCCAATATATATATTGATGATCTAAATGTATTCTCAAAAGATTTTGAAGAACACTTAGATCATCTCAACAAAGTATTTTGCAGAATTAGAAAAGTCAATTTGAAACTCAATTCAGAAAAATGTAACTTTTGCAGAAGAGAATTACTATTCCTTGGACATATAATAACTGAAGAAGAAATTTTACCTGATTCATTAATAATATAGAAGATAAAAAACTTTTCTCAATCAAGAACTATTAAAAAACTCTAATTATTTCTTGGATTGGCTGGATACTATAAAAAATTTGTTAAAAAATTTTCTCAAATTACTATATCTTTATTCAAATTACTTTGAAATAAAGAATTATTCATTTGGACTGTAGATTAAGAAGAAGTTTTTCAACAAATCAAACAACATCTTACAACTACACCTATTTTAATTTATCCTGATTTTACAAAGAAATTCTATCTTTATACCAATATCTCAGACTCAGAACTTGAAGCTGTCCTATTTCAAAAAGATAAAAATGAAAAAAAACAAGTAGTCACTTATATAAGTATCAATTTAAAATCAAATAAATAAAAATATAGAGTAACAAAAAAAGAAATACTAGTAGTAGTATGAACTGTTAGATAATTTTATCATTATCTACTTGAAATAGTTTTTGAAATTATTACAGATCATAATATCTTGAGATGGTTATTTAAAAATTAATCAAGTCATTCTACTAGAGTAAATCACTAGATCATGTCTTTTATGGAATATATCTTTATTATTACTTATCAATCTGGAAGAAAAAATTAAAATGCTAATGCATTATCCCAGATATATTTGGAAGATCATTAAATAACTTTTTTCTTTACAATAATAATATATATTTAATAACTTATTATAACTTACAATAATATTTAGATAATAAAACTTATTCTGTAGAATCAACTCTTGAATAATAATGTAAAATTCATAATCAAGCAAAATATTTTTTATAAATTAATGACATATTATACAAAATTAATAGAAAAAAAACTAACTATATCTCTTCAAGTTATCAAAGAAAATAAAATAGAAGCTATTCTTATTAATTTACATTCAAGCTCTTTATCTAAACATTTTAAATATGAAGAAATCTATCAATAAATTACAAATAAATATTAGTGGAATAATATGAGAACTGATATAAAGAATTATATGAAGACTTGTGAAATCTGCTAGCAAACTGATAAAAGAACTACTAAATAATCTTTATATCCTATCAAAATTAGATAATCTTTATATCCTATCAAAATTAGATAATCTTTGGACAAAATAATTATTGATCTAATTAAACCTAGTAAAATCATAATAACTAGAAATTGATATATTAGTATAGTAATAGATTATCTTATAAAATAGTTTGAAGCTAAAGTTAATTTCAGACAAGAAAGCTACTACAATCACAAAATTTATCTTTGAAAAAATAATCTGTAGACATGGATATCCTAAAGAAATTCAATCAGATAATGAATTAGAATTTGTCAATGAAATAGTTAAAGAATTATCAATAAAATTTAGAATCAAATATAAATTTTCTTTATCTTATCACCTATAAATGAATAGAATAATAGAATGCTTTAATAGAATATTATGTATGATCTTACAAAAATTGACAATAGCATATGAATAAGAATAGGATACTTTCATTCTTATTGCTCTTTTTACTTATCAGATCAACCAAAATTCAACAATAAAACATAAACCATTTTTCTTAATCTATAGACAAAATACTAAATTACTAATTGAATTAAAGATTCCTACCTATTTAGAAGAAAACTCTACAGAAGAAGAAAAATTAATATAATGAATATATAATATAGTAGATTAGTTACCACAATAAATACTAGAAGCAAAGCAAAATATAAAAGAATAACAATTACGATACTCTCAAATATATAATAACAAAATTCAAAAAGAAATAATTTTTGAAATTGAAAACAAAGTATTAATATTTAACATGAAACAATACTCAGTAATTAGAGATAATTTCAACCTATCTGAAATAAAGAATGATACTATATTCATGACTATACTAGATATAACTCTTACAAAATTTATAATCAGAAAAGAAAAATTCTCAAGTATTCTATTAATGAAAGATAACTCAAATATTATCATAATTGCCAAGATTACTTTGAATCACAAATTATTATTGAGTAACTCACATGGATTATTCCTTTAATTTTTGTCATTCCTATATTTGAAATTCTTTTTTATCTTATTTTTATCTATTTTTATAATTATTTTTATTCCAATATTTTTAATATCTTATCACCTATAGTAAATTTTTAGTTCAAATTTTATATAAATACTCTCTCTATTCCTCTTTCCTTTTTCTTTATTCTTTTACATTTTCACTTTTATCTATTACTTTTTACTCTTATTACCTTATATCTTTTCAAATTTTATTATACTTTTACTTTATTTATTCTTTATTATATCTCAATTATCCACTTGGATTATTCTTTTAATGATCAAATTTCTTGAAAAAATCTATCAGAAAATATTCATACATTAATTTTTTGAAATGATTACTTTCTTTACTTATAGATTACTCACTTGTGATAATACAGGACAGAAAACTAATATTACACTCTTGAATTTACTCATACAACCTGAATTTACTAAAGATATTAAATTGGATAACCCTTTCCTCTTGAATATACAAATAATTGTTAAACCTCTTGAAGTACTTATTGAACTAGTTAATATCATTATTGACTCAGACTTTGACTAGTTAAATATCTTTATTATTATTTTCTCTAAAGACAAATTCAAAGTTAATGTTAAGCAAGAGAATATTGAAGACAGTGTTGGCCTATGACCTAAGTTATAACATATTTGCAATATGACCTTGGTCATATGAGCATATGACCTAGGTCATAAGATCATAAGATCATAAAATTATGACTCTAGATCATATGATCGATATGATCAAGATCATATAATTAAATATCATAGATCATAAATTCTATCTAATCAAAATTTAAAATTTTTTTAATTTTTTTGTTTCATTTTATTATGTCTCCCCATAACTTTAGAAGATCTTTTACTTTAATAAAAAATTCAAACAACCCTACAAATGCTCTTGCAATATGTAACTGATGTATAAGCAAATATGGTGGATTAGGAGCAGCTCAATTAAAATCAGAATATTACACTGTTAACAGAGCTCATCTGTGCCATAATCATTTATCAAAATGTGAAGCTTTTTGTGAAGCTAATACAGAAAAAGAAGTACAAAGAATTTTGGTTTTATCAGTACCAGAAGATAAAAGAAAAAAATGAAAAAAAAAATAATAATGAAACAGATAGTATGTTAAATTTTAAGTGTATTATATTTGTATTATCATGTTTAATAATTTTAAATTATTTAATATAGACGAAAAATCTAATAGTAGCAATGATAAAGTATCAATTCAAACAAATTCTATACTATCAGTAAATTCACTAGTCAGTTCAACAAACTTAACACAGTTGTCTAGCTAACAAATAGCAATTATGAATTTTTTTTGCTGATCTCTTTCAGCTAATGACCAAATGCAGTTTGAACAATTGCTATTAAGAATGATTGTTTCTAATGCTCTGCCTTTTATGTTTGTTGAAAATGAAGATACTATTGCTGTATTTGAATTTTTGGTACCAGGACTCAAATTACCAAAGTGCAAAATCATTGATGACAAAGTGTTAATGAAAAGTGCACAATCATTGCAAGATAATATAATCAAAGTTACTAAAAATGATATGAATAGAGTAACTGCAACATTTGATAGTTGGACTAATGTAAAACAAGAACATATTTGGGGTGTAGTTTTTATAACTACAAGTGGATAATCTTTAATATGGGGTACACATGATATTAGTTCAGAAAGATCACAAACACAAAATATAATTAATCATATTAAATAATTAATGACTGAAGCTGAAGAAAAATAAATAAATATCAAGGCATTTATTTCAGATTCAGCTGGTAAATATGTAGCAGTATGGTAATTTTTTTATTATTTTATATTTTTTTTATTTTTTTTATTTACACTTTAATTTTTGTAGTTGATAATTGCAAAGAAAATATCCTTCTAAGATTTTTTTACCTTGTATGGTCCATCAAACAAATTTGATATTTGATGAAATCTTCAAAGAATCAATGCTATATCAAAGAATCTTCAAAGAAGCAATACAAATAGTCAGTTTTTTTCACAAATCAGTTTTTTTTATGAGAAATCTTAGAGATAAACAAATGCAAATTTATAACAAGATGATTGCATTAATTACACCTGGAGATACAAGATGAAATTCATATTATTTTTGTTTTCATTCTATATTAAAGTCAAAATCTGCTCTCAAGATAATATTATTTAATTTTCATTATTAAACAATCTAATTATTTAATATGTCAAACCAATTTTTAATCTATTGTTTTTATTTATTAGTTTCTTTTGGCTAAGTTTAATGATAATCATACTAATATAATTTGAATAGATAATATCTCATTTATATTGGCTAATAATCAATTAATACTACATAATAGTACTTAAAAACTTCTAGATGATATTGCAGATATCATAAATGATGCTCAATTTTGGATGACATTATTTAATCTACAAGAACTTTTGTATCCTCTTTGTGGTTTTTTGAACAAGTTACAAAAAGATATAGCCTGACTATATAAAGTTATTCATTATTTTGGGTATATGATGAAAATATTTGAATCTCATCAAGATGTTGAATTTGGATCAAGAATAATGACGTATATTAGATCACATTGGAAAGAATGGGAATAACTATTAATGCTTCTTTCTTTTGCACTACATTCTTAATACAAACTCACTAAATTTAATAATATGATTGCCAATCTAACATGGACTCATATTGGATAATGGCTTAAGTATTATTATGAAGCATAGTTTAATTCTAAACCTGTTTCTATTTTAGCTGAATTAATACAGTACAAGTGAGGAATTGATCCATATGATAGTGAATCATTTATGCAATTCAATAGAAATTTGGTAGATTTTTGGGAATCAACTGAAGGAGTCAGTCCAGAATTAACATGAGCAGCAATTCATGTTCATGGTATCTGCGTTAACTCTGCATCTGTAGAACATTTATGATCTTGTATAGGGTTATTGCATACTAACTGACAAAATTGGTTGCAGATTTGTTTATCAATTATCAATAATTTATTTTTGTTTATTTTATATTTACATTTATTATAATTAATATTATAGCAAAAAAAAGTCTTGGCAATGAGCCAAATTCAGAGTAATATCCTTTGTTCTTGCAAAATAAAAAATGCAAAAGAATATGATAATCAAATTCACTGATTACATATTGCAACACCTATACTACTAGATGAAACTATAGAATATGAATCAACTATCACTAATTTCGATTATCAAGTGAGTGATGGCAATGAAGATAATTTTAGAGAGGGAACAAGTGCCAGATCTTATGATCAAATAAATCAAAACTCTGAAGAAAATGAAGATTTAGTTACAGAAGAAGAACAAAGGTGGGAAAATCTAATTCAAGAGTGGATAGAGTTTGGAAATTGTGAAAACCAATTTGAAAATCAGGAAGATGAAATTTTATTGTCAAGTGATTAGGATGCAGATTTTAGTTTAGGAGGACAAGAAAAACATCCTGCTAATGATGAAAGAGCCAAATGGTCTTTAGATTCACTTTTTATTTCTTCTTTAAAAATACTAATATATTTTGATTCAGAGTTTATTATAATAATATTACGGTAAAGCACAAGATAAGGAGAGGTATTTGATATCATAGGTATTGAAATCAGATTTAGTAATTCTTCAATACTAATAAAATGGAATTAGAAAACAATTTATGTAAAATACTTGCTTATGACCTTTTTCGATTAGTATTATTTTTGTGCAGTTTCATCATACTTTTCTGGCTTTATAATTATTTGAACTTTTTATCTAATGATTTCTTACAGAATGGATCCAACAAGAGGCTATCTTAATGTTTCTATAACAATAAAATAATTGTGAATAAATTGATCAAATTAAAAGTTTTTATTATTTTCATAGTGATCTAGACTAACCTATGAAATAGCAACTATATATCTAGACTTTTAGTTATCAACAAGACTGTTCTTACGCACCACCCTACCAAATGGAAATATAAAAAAAATTGAACAAGCATCTGACTTGACCATTACAAAGTTTAGCAAAAAGTCTACAGTATTATACAAAATCAATAAATCTTCTCTATATAAATGATTCTAAGCAAACATTACTCTAAGATCGAGCAAACTTACTATTGTCATTAATAGTCTGTAAAGAGGTTAAATTCAGATCTCTATTTATTCTCCACCAAATAAAAACTTTCTTAATAACATAACTGTAGTGACAGTATCGTAAGATATTCATAATCTTCTCTTTTATTTCTTTAAAAACCCGCTTAGGCTAATTTTTTTTGCATAATTTCTATTGGCCAATCATGTCATAATTTTCTATTGGTTAATCATATCATAATTTTCTATTGGCTAACCATTTCATAATTTCTATTGGATAAAATTATGACCAAGATCATAGGTCATATGACTATTTTTATGACCTTATGACCTATGACTGATCATATAGATCATAGAGATTATAATAGATCATAAACCAACACTGATTGAAGAAGAATCAGAATTTGTAAGTTCTGATAATTTAATTACTTCTGAAAAATAATCTAAAGCATCTACATTCAAAATAAAAAATGTTTAATCAATCTTAGAAAAAGATTGATCTACCCAACTCAAAGAAACTATATTATTAATTTATAATAATCCTTTGAATAATAATAGTTAGATAATGCTACAATACTATAAATTTGAATATATACTTTTGATTCAATCTCAGAAATATTCAAGAAAAATGTTAGAAATCAAAAAGAATATTGAAGATACTCTTGAAAAATACATATATGATAAATTATATAATATTACTTATAAAGTCTTTTTTATTTATCACTTTGAAGAAGAAGTCTTTAATAATAAATTTGAGTTTATATTAATCAAGTTGCGTTACTTAAATAAGAAAGAACTATTAAAGATTATTAATTGATTTTTGCAAGAATAAAAATTTTCTGAAGGAGGATCATATATTACCATAGTGATATAAAATTTCTTAATTCCTTAATCTTTTCCTAGTTATGCAAAATTACATATTTCTATATTTTTCATTTATTCTATAAATATCCCTATTTTTATATCAAATATTACTATATTTATTATTATATTTCTATTTTTAAACATTATATTTTATTTAATATTTGGAATCTATATTTTTATTATTTTATAATATGATATTCATGTATATAGTAGAATAGTATAGTGAAAGATTATTTTTAATTTTGGTGAAATAATTATACTTGAATGATGATCTCAAATATCTTTTCTCATTCTTTAATGTTTTTTGATATTTTCTTATATTCTTTCATGTCTTTTATATCTTTTAACATTCTTTCATATATTCTAATATTCTTTAATATTTTTTAATATCTTTCAATATATTTTAATGTAGTTTATTCATAATTGATTATACTATAGTACTTTAATTATACTTTATATATTAGATAATATTAGCTAGTAATACTATAATAATTTTGTATCTGAAAAATATATAAAAGAACCTGCTATTTCAGCTTGAAATAAATAGTTTTGGATTGAATTATTTGGAAAATATAATTTAAAAGCTTATTATCATAATAATAGTAATTTTTTCAAAAGATTTCTTTTTGAATTATACTAGTACCCTTTTTTTCACTCAGTTTTATTTCTTTGACCATACAAAGTTGATTTTTGATTTTTGAATTATAATATTATATTGATTTTTGATTTTTGATATTATTTTGAGAGTAGAAAATCTCTACTATAAATAAGTCATACTTTTTGTTTTATTTTTTTTATTATTTTTGAGAGTAGAAGACCTCTACTATAAATAAGCCATACACTTTTATTTATTTAGTTATTTAATTTTCATATTATAATTTTTATTTTTACCTTAGTTATAGTCTTCTTTGATTAATAACTTGCTATTTAATCAATTTAAAGTCTTGAATTATATTGATTACTAGTGACTTCACTCAGTCAATCTTTATAATTTCTTTGATTTATTTACTTTTTTCTTTAATTTATTATCCTTTTTGAGATAATATCCATAAATATTGTCACAGATCTTAGAAACCTTTATCATTATTGAAAGTTATAGTCTAATTTCTCTCTCTTCACTCTTTAATTATTTCAGTCTCTCCTAATCTTATATTGTTGAAATGAATTCAAGTGAAACTCCACTTACTAATTTGCTATAACAATATATTAAATTTAATATATTATAATATAAATAATTATCATATATATTTATATTATTAATTTAATTAATTAATATTTTTAATTAAATTTCTTTTCAATTATTCTTTTATATTTTTATTTGTTCTTATTTATATTATTATTTATTATATTATTAATTATTAGATTATAATTAATTACTTTTCAGAGATATAAATTAATTTTGTTAAATCATATATATTTTAAAAATAGATTATTATTAATTTATTTGCTTTCATATTTATTTTTTTTATAAATATGTTCTATTTATTTTGTAATTTTACTTCAAATCTAAATATATTTCAAATAATAAAAATTATAAATTATAAATTAAATCTATTCATATTGTATTTTATCTTATTTATAATTATTAATAAAATAATCTTATAGAATAATATTTAATAATATTAATTAGAAATTAATTTTGATATAGTTAATATTGAATTAAATATGTTTTTTGATTAAGAATATATTATTTTAATAAAAGAACTATTATTTAGAGAATTAGTTTATTATTATATTTGTTTTTTTAGATATTATTTTAATAAGATTTGAATAAAAAATATAAATAAAAAAATAAATTTCATAACAAGTTATTTAAATAAGAATTCTTATCTATTAATTAATAATAATCTCTTTCTTGAAAAATACATAATATATTAATATTAGAAAAATATATTATATAAAAATAAATAATTTTATCTATTAATTAATAATAATTTTGAAAATATATAATATATTAATAATTAAAAAAATATATTATATAAAAATAAATAAACTTATTAATTAATAATAATCTTGAAAAATATATAATATATTAATAATTAAAAAAGTAATAATTAGAAAATAAGTCATATAGAAGTAATTATTTAAAGTATATATATATATAAAAAGACTAATTAAGTATATCTTATTATATTAATAAATCAAGATAAATTTAAATCAAGATAAATTCTCATATAAAAAATTAAAGTTAATATAAAAAAAACTATAATTTGAAAAATATTTTTTTAGTATATTTATTATTCTTATAATTTTTTAATCTTTTATATTTTTAAATATTATATTTCTAATAAATATTTCATTTTAATTTAATCTAAAGAATTTACTTTTATTTTTTCTTACTTATTTATAAAAAATCTAAGCTATAGAAAGATCTTGAAATTGCTTTTAATTATTTATTAGATTCTTAAATATATTAAAAGATAAAAAAGAAATAGTAATAATATTAAAATATAAAGAAATAATAAATTAAAATAATATATATAATATACTATTATTTAATATTTTTTTATAATATTGTTACGGCGAATCGGTAAGTGGGTTTTCACTTTGATTCACCCTAACGATATAGGGTTGGGAGAGACTGAAAT